TCGCGCCGCCCTAGCCGGGACGCCAGCCGGGGGTCTTCGGCCGACTCCGCGGAAGAAGGCGTGACGAGCGACGCGGCGAACGAGGAGCGCGCGCACCGGACGGACCGAGCCGGGGAGGCCCCCAGCGGGTCCAAAGGAGGCAAAGGCAGAAGGCGAGGACCACTCGGGGTCTCCTTGGAGAAGAACCAGGCCGCCTCCGGGGACCCCCACAAACACGGGCCGGCTCCTCGAGGCCGAGGCGGGGGTACGTAGGTGCTTCACATTTTCAATGGACCCCACCCGCCGGTCGCGAATAGCCGCAATCTCCGTCGAATTGACGCCCATTGAAAATGTTGAGCAAAAAAAATTTGAGAATATTTTTGGGGGGAGGGGGGGTGAAATTCCGCACAACATTCTGATAAACCATCAATAGATTGAGAATCCCCCCAAAAAATATATAACATAAAGCAGTGCTGAAAAAATTGCGTGAAGAGGTGAGATTTTTGAGCTGTAATTGCGGTCGCGCCGTCATTTTGCGCCGAATCTGCTAGCGACCGATGCCCAATCGCCAACGAAAGCAAAGAATGGAATTTGCCATTGCGAACCACCGCAGTGTCGAAAACGGTTGCGATACATCGAAATGCAAATTGAGAGGGATCGTAAGCTAAGCCTGTATCCGGCAGGTATCCTGGTGCTGCCGTCCCGCGGCGACACGGCCAAGCTCCCGGAATCGGGCCAGCGCACGCTTTTTGGAGGAGCCGCTCCCAGTGCCCGAGGGGGGCGCGGCGGGGGCGCCAGGCGCCTCTGGGACCCCAACAATCCCGAGCAGAAACCGGCGCTGAACCCCGCCGGTCGGCGCTCGCTCCCGCAGGCGGCGCACGGACAGCTGCACTTTCTGGACACGGACGACGAAGTGGCGGGGAGCCCTCCGGTGTCGCGGCAGCCGCCCGCCGCCTTGGCCTACTACAGGTTCCAGAAGTCGGACAACCCCTACTGCTGCCCGCCGCCCGCCGCCCAGCGCTACCCTTTCCCCTCGGCGCCGCCCCGCCAGGCGGCCAACGGAGCGTACGCGCCCGTTCACTTGTACAGAGGTTACGCCCAGTCGGGCGGCGAGCTGACGGCGGAGGAGGCGGAGCAGCGCACCAGAGGCGACCTGTGCCGCATGCTGCGGGCGGCCGACTCCCAGGAAGTTCAGCTGGGCAACTTGCTGTCGCGAGATCGAATCAGCGCCGACGGACTGGAGCGCATGGCCCAGCTCAGGTTGGCGCAGTTCAAGTTTGCCGCCTCTCAAACGGCTTTTGCCCAAGTGCCGGCCGGCCGGCCTTGAAATAGTCAATCATGAATTCTTGTGCCTCGATCGTGACCGACGTTCAATTACAGTCACGCGCTTGGCCCAAGTCTCGGTCACGAGCGAGGCCGAGTTGTGCTGCATTCGATAGGATGATTCAAAATGCGTTTGAAAAAATCAGGCCCTGCCCTTTGCTTTCCATTCGGACGTGTTGCCGACGTTCAGGGCGGAGCTGCTGGGAGCGTACGAGCGCGTGGTCCTGAGCGACATCGAGCTGGCCGACTCGCAGAGCGTGGACCAGGCGCTGTGGAAGAACGTCTTCTACCAGGTCATCGAGCGCTTCCGCCAGCTGCTCAAGGACCCCGCCGCCGCCGCCAACGACAACCCGCCGCTCATTCGCAACGTGCTGCTCACGCTGCTCGACGAGGTTAGACGCAGTCTAGCGATGGCCATTGACAAAAACGGAGCCGGGCCCGTTTTAGGGGCTGACCTGCGCGCGTGACTTTGTTCCCAGGGAGCGCACTTCTTTGACGCTCTGCTCCAGAAGCTGCAGACGGTCTACAGGTTCAAACTGGAGAACTACATGGACGGCATGGCCATCAGGGCGCGCCCGCTGCACAAAACGGTACAGCGAGTGTCACGGTGACCCGAAAAGCCCGGCGGTGACGTTCCATCACGCGGCCGAGTTTTCAAAGCGAGCCGGGATGATTTGAAGCGTGATGCGACGGAGTCTCCTTTTGCCTTCCCCTCAGGTGAAGTACGCCCTGATCAGCGCCCAGCGCTGTCTCATCTGTCAGGGAGACATCGCTCGCTACCGGGAACAAGCCAGCGACTCGGCCAACTTTGGAAAGGCCCGCAGGTACCGAGGCAGCATTGTTGTTGTTGTTCCCCCCCGCCTCCCACGTACACCGCTGTCTTGCCGAGAATAGCAAAATAACACGTTGCTACCCAAGAGCCGATTTTTAGCCTTCGTTCATGTTGACACATGTCGTGATTTGTATCACTTAACGATTATTATACGTATTTAATTGTTGTTGACGACACCACCCAACCCCCACACACACACACACACACACACACACACACACACGTCATTTTGAAAATGGAAAGTGAGGAGCGATGAAAGATGCGTTTATAGAGAATAGAAGGAGAAGGGTGAAACGGAGGTCATTGTGGCGTACTGAATCTGATCAAGCATCAAACTCGACTTACAGAAATGTGGACAAACGTCCTTTCAATATTGAGATTTTGTCTCGAAGGGATATGATGCTGGTCTAAGCATTGAAACTCAAATGAAAATGTCTGGTTCACCGCAAAATGGCTGATTTCTATTGAATTTTGCCCTTGAGACTTCTTCGTGTGTCCTGTTATGAGAGGCATATGAAACCAATTGCATGTTGTTAAATGATTTTTTTTTTTTTTTTACGTTCCTAAAATATTTTAAGATGATCATCAAATTCGGACCTCATGCTCCGCCCACATTTGATGGCATATAGACAAAGGTGGCTCACACTGTTTAAAAAAAAAAAAACATACAAAATTTAAGTTGGAACAACTTTAAATCATAAAAATGTATGACACTTATGGCACCTATGTTAGCTAGCAAAGTAAGTAAACTGTTCCCAAACAATTTGACGAGTTGGGGGACAACACAAGGAACAATTCGTTCTGCAAACTCGATTGTTGTTGGCGACCCCCCCCACCCCCCGCCCCCCCCCCTTTTTTTTTTTTTTTTGCAAGTTGGGCTTCAGGCAACCATGCCATCAACCCGTTGTCTTGCTAGTTTTGGGCCGAAAGCACGCTAAACTGTTTTGCGGGTTCGATCTCGTGATCTTCCGCCTGCAGCGGATGAACTCCGTTCTAAGATAATAGATTCAGTCGTACCAGAGGAAGGACGCAGATTTTCGGAAACGATTCCCTCGTCTCGCCACGTATTTCTCTTTCAACCTCACTTTGTTGACTTTTGATGCATTTCACTGATGTTTCTTAGCTGGTACTTGAAAGCCCAGCAGATCGCCCCCAAAAACGGCCGCCCCTACAACCAGCTGGCGCTGCTGGCCGTCTACACCGTGAGTGACCAATCGCGGAGCTTTAGCGCCGTTGATGCGCAAGCGTTTACAACCCCCCCTCCCCCTCCCTCAGAAGCGCAAGCTGGACGCCGTCTATTACTACATGCGCAGCTTGGCGGCCTCCAATCCCATCCTGACGGCCAGGGAGAGCCTGATGAGCCTGTTCGAGGAGGCCAAGCGCAAGACGGAGCAGCTGGAGCGTCGCAGGAGGCAGGACGAGCGGGACGGCGGCTCCCGGGGGCCCGCCGTCCGGGGCCGCGCCGTGCCCGAGGACGGGGCGCGCTCCGAGGTCTGGCTGCGGCCCGGCGGACGCGCCGGGGACCCTGAACAGAACGGCGAGCTCAGCGGGCTCAGCGCCGGCGAGGTAAGGGAGCGAGTCCGCAAGCGTGCCTTTGGACACCCGCGACACGCAGGGGCGCCTCGAGACGCGCGCTGCCATTTGGACATCGAGGAAAAGTAAATGACCTCGCAATGTTAAATTGACACGGCTTGAAAAATCACAGGCAAGTTGCAGTGTCAAAGACGCAACTCCTTTGGACAGCAAGGTAAAACATCAAAGATACCCAAGTCCCTTGAAAGGCAGGTTGAAACCTGCCCCACCACAATTCCCTTACCTTAGTTTCAAACATCAAAGACAGACGAAACATCACCGACATGCAGCAGCAACCTTGTCGCGCAGGATGAAACATCAGAGGTAGCGCCATTTCAAAGACGCGCTTCTATTTAGAACGAAAGCGAGCTAGCCGCGTGTTGACAGGCAACGGCCCCCGCTAGCGTGACTTTAGCCATCAAAGACACGAGTGCATTTTGACAAATGACTTTTTGTTCTGCTGTTTTTTTTCTCCCCCCCCCAGCTCAACAGGCGATTCATCCTCAGTTTCCTGCATGCGCACGGAAAACTCTTCACTAAAGTGGGGTGAGTCTGACTCGAATCGAGTCTGCCGGCTCAAGTCGCGTGACTTGAGACGCGAGCCGTGCGAGATGAGTCAAAATATATCAAGAAATAAATCCCACCCCCAAACCCAATGTTTCTCACACACACACGCAGGATGGAGTCGTTCCCGAGAGTGTCCCGTCGGGTTGTGCAGGAGTTCCGCGCGCTGCTCCAACACGGCCCGTCCCTCCTGGGCAGTACGCAGCTGCTGCAGATCGTCACCATCAACATGTTCACCGTACACAACGCTCTCACTCGAGGTAACGCGCGTACAAACACGGGCATGCGCCCTTTGAGCGCACGTGACTCGCGTGTGCATCATCCGTCGGCCGCTCAGGCGGGGGTGTAGTAGAAGAAGAAGGAGGAGGAGGAGGGGGAGGTGAAGAGTGTCGTCCGATGCTGCAGGAGCAGAGCACGGCCCTGGGCCTGGCCATGTTTGCACTGATGGTGGAACGCTGCACGCAGATGCTCACCGACACTCCCGCAGGTACAACCTTGCCGTGACAGCTGTTGCCCACAGATCCCAGTTCTTCCAAACGTTGTTTGCTTTGGCTTCTGAGCACAAATTGTCGACGCAAACGCTGTCTGATGGCAGCAAACCCAACTCGCTCAGGCGGCAGTTTGACAGCTTGTGAAGAAATGATTCCAAAAAAAGAGGCCTCAAACGATGTCTCGCCACTTCCCGCTTGAAGTTCTCTCCAAAACAAAGGCAATTGCTTGTTGTGTATTTGGAACGAGCAACTCGCATCAACACGTTGACTTGCTAACGGTTAGCGTCAAGAGCTTTGACGGATGATCGGGAAGGCCCGGTTTGCGCGCCCGTGTCCAAATTGATGCGGCCTTCCAATCCGGAGCGGCGCAATGTCCGTTGACCCGTACGGTTTTCCTTTTCATTTCTTTGCGCGCTGTGATCGTTGTCGCGCATTCATCAGCCGCCGCGTCCACGTCTGACGTCGAGCGGGAGGACAAAGAGGACGAGCCGGAGGCCCTGCTGAAGGTCTCGCGTTTCCCGGCGGACCTGCGGGAACTCCTCCCGAGCATCAAGGTTTGGTCCGACTGGATGCTGGGACACCCGGAGCAGTGGAACCCGCCGCCCTGCAGCATAGAGTGAGCGCCGCGTGTCCTCGTCGCCGCCGCTTCCCCCTGGCCGGCCGCTTTCCCGACACGTCCTCCTTTCCTCGTCCCGCAGCGACAGCCCGGACGTGTGGCGGTGCCTGGCCCGGCTGTGCAACGTGCTGGCCCGCGTGGACCACGGCGAGGTGCCGCTCTACAAAGTGGACACGGACGAGGTGGAGGGCGACGAGGAGCTGACGGTGCTGCAGCTGAAGGAGGACAGGCTCCTCGCCGGCTTCGTCCCCCTGCTGGCCGCGCCGCAGGAGCCCTGCTACGTCGATCGGCACACTGACGCGGTAGGCCGCTCGCAAGCGCTTCCCCTTACGTGCCGCCGGCGCCAAGACTCCTAGAAGAGACGGGAGACGGCGATAGATGCACGATTCCATTTGTGGGGGCGTGACACAGGAACAGAAACACTCGGTTGCAAACAGCATAAGGGATAGACAGAAATCAACACGGGTGCATCGCGGCGCCATAGCGCAAGTTCCACGTTCGCAAAAGAAACGGGCTCGCGTCGACACCCGGCTCGCTTCAGCTCATCAAAAAAAAAAACGACAGGGGCACGCATGCATGCCTGTCGTCCACAGCCCCAGTTCACACATCCATGACGGCGACAGAGTCCCATCTCGCGTGCTCTTTGCCTTCAGGCCCAAGCCGCCGACTGCAAGCGGGTGACGGTGCTCAAGTACTTCCTGGAGGCGCTGTGCGGACAGGAAGAACCACTGCTGGCCTTCAAGGGCGGCAAATACGTCTCGGTGGCGCCGGCCCCCCCGGCCCCTCTGAACACCGGCACCAGGCGGGACTCGCTCTCGGACAAAGAGGTGATTTCGACGCCTGTTGGAAAGAGCGCGTCTTTCGATGTCCGACTAGCCCAAGAAAAGAAAATCACGTCGAAATCTGACACCACATTTCACATTCAATTTGAAGGACTTTCAAACGAGTAACCAACTGACAAAAAAAAAACTAATTTTCCAAAAAAAAAAAAAGATCCATCCATAAATCTAAGAGGAAGCATGAATGCCCACAGATGTGTCATAGCCGACTTGGAGTTGTCTTGACGCGTCGTAGCCCGCCCACGTGGAGGGACGCGCTCAACGATTGACGACCACGGCGAGTGAGATCCGGCATAGCCGGATATTGCCGCATAGCGTGACGCTCGGCTCGGTCCTTTTGGCCCATAGGAAGGCAGTGAGAGACCGGAGGTGGCGCGCGCAATCCCAATGCGTCGCCGTCCGCTCTTTCAAAAGGCGCCGCGACAAAATCTTGCAAAGTGTGCGTAGCATTTCAGCTGCAAAGCTAGCGGCTCATTAGCAAACGTGGTGTCATTCATCAAATGCGTGACCTCCTGCCCCTCCCCACAATCCAGGGAACCGGTCCTGAGTCTCTTTGTTTTTTATTCCACCTTTTCTGAGCAGAGAACAAACGCACGTGCCCATCGCGGCCCGGTCGACATGACTTTGACAGCCGCTGGTCCCGCCTCCCCGATGGGCCCAACCTTGACGGGAGAGTGGCACGATTGGGCGGGGTCTGCTCGGGGACGGACTTATTTTTTGTCGTGTCTGACAGCACGACCCTCGCGAACGACCAAAAAGTCGTGGAGTTTGACGAGGCCATAAATCATCGGTGCATCGGCCGTGGTGTTGGTCAGCTGACAGCTCGTCCATTTAAGTATGTTTTTCTTTTTTTTTTTTTTTTCTCGCAGGCCGATGATGTCATCGTGGAGTCACCGCCGTCGGTGTCGGAAGGCGAGGAAAACGACGACGACGACGACGAGGTGGAGGAGGCGGCGGGAGACGGCGAGAGCGACATCAGACAGCTGAAGGCACGGCGCCACGCCCTCGCCAACAAGCTGGTGCAGCAGCAGAAGCGCCGGCAGAAAATACAAGTAAACGCACGAGAAAAAAAAAACGGCGACTATTGTTTCAAAAACACAAAAAACAAGCCAGCAACTATTTTTAAAAAAAAAGTTCAAACATGGCTACTGACAAATCTGTCGATTGAAAATATATAAAAGCCTCATCAGTCAAATCTAGTGACTTTTTCATTTTTTTTAAGTGACTAACGGCAAACAAAATTAGCGATTACTGTTCGAAAAAATATACATTTAGTGACTATTGTTTAAAAGTTAACAACCAAAGTCACAAAAAAAAATGTCTGGCGGTGTGTCACGTTGTATTTTGCTGCTGAATGCGTTTTTTGTTTTGTTTTTGCGCCAGGCGGTGCTGCAGACGAGCGGGCAGCTGCAGCTGGAGGTGCGACCGGTCTTCCTGGTGCCCGACACCAACGGCTTCATCGACCACCTGGTGGCGCTCAAGAAGCTCCTCCAATGTGGAAGCTACATTGTGGTGGTGCCGCTCATTGGTAAAATTCTCACCTGCCATTGAAATTTTTTTTTTTTCCTCATCGTTTTCCTGTCTGGTGGGGCGGGGATAACAGAAACAAATGTGGACAGGCAATCGCGCAATCGTCAGAGCATCTATTTTTTTGGGCTCTTTGAAAAATGACATACTTTGTTCCTCAGGCATACCGAGTTGTTTTGAGCAGCTCCGTGTCGATTTTACTGTGCACCTCGTCCACAGTAAAAATCGACACGGAGTTGTTCATTTGCCATACGGAGCAAACAAGATGTCCAAGCAATACTTGGATGATCAAACTACTGATGATTGACGAATTGTCGATTCATTGCACCTCTAGTCTACGAGGGCCAAATTGTTACAGTGGCAGAAGTAGTACAAGTCGTTGTCAGGGAAGTGATATGGATGTTGCAACCCTCCCATTTTTATTTAGTGATTTATTGTTTCCTGGTGCATTTTGCACGATCCAGCGTTTTTGTGTTTTTTCCGCGGCAGTGATCACGGAGCTGGACGGCCTGGCGAAAGGCCAGGACGCTTCGGGGGGAGGAGGAGGAGGAGGAGGACACGCGGCGGCGCACGTGCGCGGCGTGCAGGAGAAGGCGCGCCAGGCCGTGCTGTTCCTGGAGCGGGCCTTCGAGGCGCGCGAGCCGCGACTGCGGGCGCTCACCAGCAGGGGGACCCAGCTGGAGTCCATCGCCTTCCGCAGCGAAGACACCTCAGGACAGCAGGTCAGCGACACAAAGTCAACTCGGAACTTTGCGAGGACCTTTGTGCGTTTGGGCCGCGCAGTCGACGGTCTGGATTTCGTCGGGGCCAAAAGGAACTTTGATCCCGATTTGCATCGCCCAATCACACGTGTCGCTGTTGTTGTCAGGGCAACAACGATGACGTCATCCTGTCCTGCTGCCTCCACTACTGCCAGGACAAGGCCGAGGACTTGATGCCCGACCAGAGAAGTAAGTAGGAAACATCTTGGGAGCTTGTCGATGTGGACTGCACTTTGGCAGCGTGACTTCGTTCTTGTTTGGCGCGGATTCCCACTCGTGTGCCGCGAACAGAATGACTGCCGTCATAGAGCAGCTAGTTTCCCCCAATCAAAGTCAGTGTTGACAACGTGGCCGTTTTCCTTGCAAACTAATGAACACAGAGGCACAAGCGGCTCTCATTTGGCACCTTGTCTCTGCGCTTTGCCACCACCTCGTGGTATCTGTCAGCAACCGCAACCCTTTTGGCAAAGGGGCGGTTGCTGGTCGTCCGTCCCTTGGTTACCTGAAGCGCCGAATGGGTCGTGGGCGTGCGGGAGCCTATCCCAGATATGTCTTTGGGCATTCTCAACTTACCAGCCATGAAAATATACGCGAGAGTAAAGTACGAAGAGATAAAATAAAGAAAGATCAAAATGATGGATGGAGGATTATATCGTACGATAGACATACGTGGATCGTGATTATTGCGCACTTCGAGTAAAAAAATAAAAATAAAAAGAGAAAAAATGGAATGGAAACATTTTCATCGCATGAAATGAAACTGTAAATCTGACCGATATCTAACTGCAGTCATGCCCCAAAGATCAGGTTTTGCGATTGCTGACTTTTGTTTTGACGAGAGTGGTTGCTCTCTTATTTTCTTCTCAAATGAGAAACTATTTGAAGGCCGAAGCGTTGCCAAAGCCCTGTGACGCGTGTGTCTCGTTTCCCTTTTAGACGGGGGGACGGTGCGCCTTCATCGCGAGGTGGTCCTCCTCACGGACGACCGCAACCTTCGCGTCAAAGCGTTGACGCGCAACGTCCCTGTCCGGGAGATCCCCGCCTTCCTCAGCTGGGCCAAGGTGGGATGAAGGCACCGACGGCAGCACTTGCGGCGCCACGGACGGGAAGGCGGCCCCCGTCCCATCCTCCTCAGCCTCCTCTTCCTCGGGATGACGTGTGTGCGAATGTGTGCGCCAGGGCACGCCGGGTGGCCGGTGCGGCCATTTGACGACCAAACGGCGCACTGCGGCGGAGAAGCCCGTGCGCAAGGCGGCGGCCCCGCCCCGCGCTGCGCTCTGGCCTGCCTGCCTGCTAGCTAGCTAGCTAGCGCGCGTGTGCAGGTGTTTCCTGCCTCGAAGGAAGTGCTGACTTCACTCAGAAGGGTTTGAAAAGTGAAGCTGTTGTTTCTGACGCTTGAAATCCGAACTGCCGCGTTTTGGCAAAGGCTCCGCTTTGCGCGCGTCGACATTAGATGGACACCGACGCGACGTTCGGTCTCGGTTTTGAAGAAGACCTGTTTGTTTCCAAAGGGCAAAAGGTGCGATGCTTTCTCACGACAAATGTTGAGCTTCGGATTCCCGAGATTCAGCGCGCAAAGTGCATGTTTTTGTTTCAACTTTGCTTCTACATCTTGCGGTCCAGCTGGAGTGTTGTCGTCTATTTATTGGACTCCGGTTTTTGTTTTCGGCCTGTGTGTCGCGGTCGGCGCTGTTGTTCTATATTTTATGGTTGCTAACATTTACCAAACAGGTCCTGTGTTCCTGATATGTCATTAAAAGCTTCACAATGATGATGGCGATGCTGTGATAGATGATGGAGGGGCTATAAAAAATCTACACACCCCTTCCAAATGGACTTCTTTTTTTTTTTCTTCCTATAAATAAAATGAGGCCAAGATAAACATTTTCAAAACTTTTACACCATGAATGTGACCCAAAACCAGTGAGAATCAATTCAGGAATCTTTTGGACAGGGAAAATAAACATGAATAGCCCAAAAATAAGATGCAAAAAAAATTTTTTTTCAAACATTGTCCCCGACTATCCCCCAAAAGATATTTATTATTTAGCAGAATCGCTTCTGTGGGTTTGCATTTACATTCAAGTTTCTCTTTGCCGTATGACGTGGTTGTAGCGCATATTACACACCGGTCTGGATCAGTGCAAGGTGGAGTCTTGTGTACGTGACGTACTTGAAGAAAGTGAGTGCATGTATGTGTGTGAGGGTGGGCTTGGACGCACTTCGAACGCCGACGTGAGCGCCGGCGCGCCTGCTCCACCTGCCTGCAGTCCCGTGACAACAGGGCCGAGCGGCGGCCAATCAGCGCGCAGCGTGGCCCCCGAGCGCTCTGATTGGTCGGAAGGCTTTGCACGTTCTTGCCGCCCAAATTCGCGGAATGAAACGTTACATCTCGGTCTGTCTCGAAGATAGCCGTGAGCCCTTCACATGGATATTTGAATATGAATTTATTTATTTTGGAGTAAGGGAGGAAACGAGATTGAAGAAATGAAGGAATTCTTTCCAACAAGCTCAACACTTGGACTTGAAACCCTAATTAAAAACCCTGACCCTCTCTCGAAACAAACGTGAACCTTGGTCCCAAACCTTACCCTAAAAATGGGGTTTTGAGGGGTTTTTTTTCCCCAGTTGGTGGGGTTGAGGTCATGGGATGTCGAAAATCTTTCTCGTCACCTGGGCCTGTCAAGCCCTTTGACACCCTACCCTAACACCAAAGGGTGAAGCAAATGACTTGAAACCCTAAATAACGTCAAACTAACCCTCAGCCAAGCTTTAAAAAAAAAAAAATTTGATACCCCATTGTTGGAAACAAACCCTACTTTCACACTCTCTAACTCTGGCTAGAAGGCCTACCTCGAAACCCTAACCAATTCTAGAAACCTTACTTTGTGAAGCCCCAAGCCTGTCTTGAAACACTCTCTCCAAGCCCTACTTGAAAACCCCGCCTAACCCAACCTACAAACCACAACTTAAAACCCCACCGCTGGCTAGAAACCTCGATTTTAAACTCTGGCTTGAAACCCGACTCCAGGCTCAAATAAATGCGGCAAGGGGGTGCTAAAGCCCCATCAGACATCCGTGTAGCCCAAGTGAAGCCCCTCGAGGGTTTTAATCGAAATGATTTTCTCAGCCCCACGTCGCACCGGGTGAGACGACACCCTGGAGCCGAGCCAGTGTCGAGGCAAGCCATTAAAAAGATAGTTTTTTGCAGTGTCCCTCCTTGTTGTTCTGTGTGTGCACTTTGAGTGGCATGAGTTGGGAGACAAGTGCGGGGTGTCCTTTCTGCTTCCTGGCCAACCGCCAGCGCATCCAAGAGCCTCCTTGCCCCCCCCCTAC